TATACAAAATACATTGGATTGCACTTACGATTACGTAAGAAGAGAACATTTTAAAAAGTAAAGAACACTTTTCTAGAATACTATCAAATTTTGAAACGGGAGTCTAAGTAAAGGGTAGTCATAGGGTCATTCAGATTTTGTTACGAGTAGTCTTGTTTTTTAAGGGTCTTTTAAAATACTGTTACTACATAACATCACAACTCTACATTAGAGTCTAATTCTCAGACGCTAGGATCTAGAAGAACATGGGAGATCAGGATCGGCGATCGACGAATGCGATATACGAATACGCTTAAGCTATTGAGGTGAAATTAGAATTTGAAGAATAGAAAAAAAGGTCTGCACTTATCTATCACTTTTTGTTCCTTCAGACAATTTTCATCGAAATATATTTATTTTCTCAATCTGAATTATACATTGGCGAAATACAAATTGGTTGTCAATCAAAATATCCACAAAATTTGATACAAAACTACAAATTCTTTTTCTAGAAAAAAAAAGAACAGGTACATTGGAAAAAAGCTCATGAGGCAATTAGAAAATAAATCTACCGTAGGATTTTATTTGTTTTTACTTCCGTTCTGACTCTTATTAATCAAACATTTGACTGACTTGTTATTTGAATTGAATTAGTAAACTTTATTACTTTTCAGGTAATTGATTGAGAAAATCTAGTCTTAAATTAGGTACCTGTATCTTTTTTCCAATCACAAAAAATTCAATAAATTACTCTGCGCTAAGTTAGATAGACGCCAATCTTTTCTCCCTGCGGTGTTGAAAAATGTTTCACATGCAAAGAATACCAGTTTAAATAAGGTGGTTTTAATTGTATTTAGGACCTCGGGGACAGAATTGGCAGCGGATTTCAGTTTAGCCAGCATGAAAACTTCAAAATAGCTCCAAAGAATCTCATCTAAGTTAGCGAGAACTACAGAGACAAAATTGAGAGATATAAAAATATCTAAATCTACAGGTTACCACCCCCCGCAAAGGATTGAAATACAAACTAAAACTGTGGGTACTAAAATTTATCGAAATTCATTTGAGATAAAGTAAATCAACAGTATATTTTTTACTATTTAACTTTTACTTCACTATTATTTAAGTCGAGTAATGTGGAAATATGCATTTCGGATCTCTTTAATCATCTCCTTTCGAAACTTGGCCACCTTGTATGAATTAACGAGCATCCCTTATGAAAAACTATTTCACCGGCTAGCGCACATCATTGAGCTAGTGAAAAAATCTTCCCTTCACAGTTGGGGGAATAGTGAGGGGGGGGGGGTGTAATTAAAGAGACGTTACCTTGCATATATAGAATATTGCAGACTTGAAGGTTCAAAATCGTGAACTAGAAGGTGCGAAAAAATTGCAAATTGTAATTTTGGCAAAAAATTGAGCAGCACTTTGATATGGCAGATGGTTTTGGTCAAAATAATTTCACAAAGGCGTGAATTTATAATCAGCAGAATTGTTATGGATTTTGATGAACCAAGTAAAGGGACATTATTTAGCTGCAAAGAGTTTTGGAAAATAAGTCTCCGCATTTAAGGAGCTTGGAAGAATAAAGCCTATGAACACATGTTTGGTGTTCCGCTTCAAAATTTACAGGTGCTGTTACAAAATTTCATGCTTTGTGTGTTTCTGCACAGCATTATGTGGTAGCTTTCAACACATTGTCATACTTCTCGGGTTGATTTCGTCGTTATTCGTGATTTGGACACTCGGCCTTGGCGTGCCACCGGTCAGCAAACTCTGATGTCGCTGCGAGTTGGAAAAACTGGGAAAGTGTCCATTAACTGACGTCATCATGGTGGTGCCGTCGCTTCGCAGATTGGAAAACAAAAAATTGGTTGGTGGAAACTGTCGGAGTAGTTTTTGCAAGCCCTGCTTGAATGTTTTGTTCATCTTGTAGAAAATTGCACAGTTTAGTAAACTTTGCACTATTATTAACCAAGTTGATAACTTGTAAGACCACATGGGGGGTAAGTTTGGATGTTGTTTTTCGAGTTCGTGGTTGATGTATCGGTCCATGAGCATGTATGGAAGGAACCCGAGGAAGTAAATTAGGGTGACGATGAACAGCATCTGACACGCTTTGATGTGCGACAGAATCTGCATGCCGCCCCCCACCGAGCCCCTCCGGTTGTTCATGGCCGCCAACTGGCTCTGCATTCTTCTGATTTCCTGCAACAAATACCCGCCCTTAATCCCACAATGAACTATTTTAGAGCGACTGCAATCATTGTGCATTCGTTTTACGCAAAGTATCAAGTATATACTCCATCATCTTTACTCCATTGAATTGGACCGAAAATAAAGACATTTTTAAAACCCTTGACCATTCAAAGTTCCCCCTTTGCTACTAATGGACCGCATCTATTTTTGGCTGATCAATTTTAAAAATTTTCCTAAGGCATCATTGCGCCAAATACCTGAAAAAATTAGGGCGCGCGGCTAAAATACGATTGGGCAAAATTGTTGTGATATTTTAAGTTCTGTACTGGAGGTCACTAGCTCACTGGATGTCACTTGAGAATTAAGTACCTGCCAGTTGTCTCTCAAAGTTCATTGGACTTTGAGATTCAGTTGACATACTTTATACGTTTCGATTACGTTCGTAATTCACCAAAGTTTTTGCTTGTTTTATTCTTTCACCTAGTTAGTTTATCATGATACTTTATTAAAAATTGCCCTAAAGTACCCAAAAACGGCATTTTGGCCTGATGCTTCAAGTTTTTCCCAAATAGATTCCTAATCGAGCTTTGGAAGAGCTCCGAAAATCAAATAGATCAAGAACCCTCCCCCCCCCCCCCCCCCTCCCTGCGAATCATCCGCCCCTGCCAACAGACGAGGTGTTCGGTCTTTTCCAAAAACCCTATTTATGTGCGCGAATGAGATGAAAACCTGACAATTTTTCTGGGCTTGAGAAATAAGACTCGGTGGTTAAAGCGGCAACTTGAGCTACTTCGCCATTTTTCCTGAAATGGTTTTTTTAGACTCAGAAATGGTAAAAATCTATTGATATTTAAACTGTCCGGGGGTTTTTTGTTTCCATAATCGTGGTTAGCGGCTAGGGTTTTAGGTCACGGTAATCAATTACTGTATAATTGATTATGTTAAAAACGCATCAACTCATTATGAATAAAAATGGCGAAAAGAGAAGAAATTAAACAAGATTTAGTTGTTTTGAATTTGACTGAGACGTTGGATTTGCATTTCTGTCCAGTTTATGATTAAGGCTCCTCTCTAAATTTTTTAAAAAAGAATGTTGGTTAAATTTTTGTCTTTTTAAACCCCAGGGGCAAGCATCCTCCCTCACAGGGGGGAGGGGGGGTGTTAACTTGATCCGACTTTCCCTGCATCCATGCGCCGAAAACTGCCTAGCCGCTCGCAGTAACCTCAAAATGAGTATCTAAAAGTAAAGATACAAATATATTAACAATAGCCGAATACGGTTTATTATACTGAATCTAGTTTTTATAGAAACTTTGCTTGGCCTGCTGTTTAAAGAGCACACGACTTAGTATCTAAGTCATTGATAAACATACCCTGGGGCGTTCAGTATACAACCGAAGTACAGCAGTGCCGAAACTTAAATATTGTTCAACAGCGCAGAAAATTGAAGATATTTAAAAATATTGAACTCTGTTTGCGAATTTTTGACTTCTTGTTTGATTACTGTTTTGTTTTGAGCAAGACAGAGAAGAAATTTTGATAATTTGCTGAGTGAGTTGTTTGTTCAGAATAATGTACGACGCCGCGCTTGGGTAATTTTTGTTTGTATAGCTAGCGGTATCACTCGAAATGGTCATTTTTGTCTTTTCAACTTTCCGTCAATTTGAATATAATCAACTGTCAGTAATTTGGGATGATTAAAAACAGTATTCAAAGCAATTTTTGGCGTTATTAAGCATTTTGATTTTCCGCACTGTTGTAATTTGGCATTATTGTACTGCCCCAAAATTTCACGCATCAAGTTTTCCCGCAGTGTAATTAATTTTCTAATAAATATTATCAATTGAAAGGCGTCTTTTTGTTTCGACTGTCCAGGAAGCTGACAACATGCTTCTACTCGAGATGGTTTTCTTTCCCCCGGTAAGTTTTGTTTTTCTAATGAATTTTTTAAGTTTTTTTTTCTATATTATCTAAAACTTTTTGACTTCGTGGGCTCAAATTGGAAAAAAAATAGCGACTAATTTTTGTGAAAAAAGACGGTTTAAATATTGCCAATTTGGCTGAAACGGGATATTTAACGCGCAAAACAATTCTCTTAATCAAAGCATAAGCGGCGACTTAAATCATTCTAATTCATATTAAGGCAAATTATTTTTTGTTACGTTACCAGACGCAAAATATATCATTTTTTCTAAATATTGTGCGGGGGATTTTTTCCATTCGGGACGTTAAAAAGCAATCGGAAAAATCAGAATTATAGCCTGATACGAGAAGTCGTTTTGACATTTGCTTTTGATTTTCCAGCCTCCCCTAAAAAATGATGCAGTTCGGGCAACGCTTATCAAATGTAATTGATGGGCTCAAAAATTTTAGTAAGTCTACATGTGGGAACGCTAGATGAAAAATTCATCTTTTGGATCTATTCAACAATCTCCACCCCTTTCAAGAAGGGGGAGATTGTTAAGTGGATCAAACTGGTTGATTTTTCGACCAATCAGAATGCAGCAAAATTAGAATTCTCAATAGAAAGCTCAGTGCTATTTTCCTGACTTTATTTATAGGGGTGGAGATTCTTAAATAGGTACCATAGGGGGGAGATTGTTAAGTGGATCCCATCTTTTTTTAAATAAAGAGACACAGAGACACTGTATGAGAAAATTGAGTATCATAATGTAGATTTATTGATGAAGATCTTGAAAATTTCTGACTCAAAATTCTCAAAAATGAAAGAAGTAAAAATATAATCAAATTGCTTGTATCAATTGAAAGCATTGCTTCTGTTTTTCCACCATTTTCTAAGATCTCTCTGCTTCCTTGTTTTTGCTCCAATGTATAATACTTTTGGTACCATAAGACTTTTGGGAAAAACAAAAAACCTCCCCAAAACAAAAAAACAGCAGTTAGTTATTTTTATATATTTAGTTAGTTAGACAGCAAATTAGGACAGCCTCACAGCCTCACTTTTTTCTGTTTTTTTGCAGAAGTAAAAATTATTTTTATCATTTTTGTTCTTATTGATCAGACCACCTCACTTAAGTGACGTCAGTTAAGTGACGAGAAGAAACTATGGATTAGCTAGTATTTTTTGTCCAATTCAGCTACCTATAAGAAACCTCGCTGAGAGTTAAATGCGGTATCTTAATACAACCCACTAAAATAATAATCAGATTTCAAAAAAAAATAACCTGTTATCTCAGGATCAAAAAATATGATTTGAAATTGACCATTTTCAGACAAAGTGACACGAATAAATCGATGAACTTGTGATTGAGCCCTGAATCTAATTTTTTTTGTGATTTACATAGAAGTTTAGTTATAACATCAACTCATTCCCTTGCCTTTTATTCCATTGAATTAGTTACATTAGTTACTGAGAAGAAAACGGTAATTTAGTTAAATGTGAAAAAAAGTAGGACGTTTTTTTATTTTTTTTGTTTAATTTGAATTTCTTTGCTTCAATCATTTTTTTCTGATCATTATGTGCTAATTGTGCAGCAACAGGCTATACTTGTTTTATGCATGTATTATCCGAGCGTTTTTTAAAAAAAGAGCAAGACTCAAAAGAAATGATTGTCAAAAACAGTGACTTTATTTGTTGTAAATAAATTGCACTGCGGCTGAAGGCTTACTTAAAATTTACCAGGTAGCGAATCAATGGGTGTACACTTTATGTACCTGCACCGATTTTAGTTTCCTTCTCCATTCAAATTGAGACAGCTAACCGTTTGATTTTAATGGCTCCCAGTTAAACTGAAGTTAGATAATAATATTTTTAAAAAGTAATCAAAACGTCCTTAAATACCAATGATAGACGTCTAGACTGAGTGTTATTCCCGCCTGCATATAGTTTTGCTTATGTTTATAGATTTTTTCCTGATAAAGCTGCTCATTAAAGCGACAAATGGTCTCCGCTATGTCATTTTTAACAAGAATTTTATTGATAATACAAATGACAGTTTTTATATAAATGTTTCAAAACTAGAATGCAGTGAACACTTCGTTTTGTTGAAGTAATTATCAAAACTGCATGTTTTCTGAATCAATTTATTGTTCCGACTTTCGATACGAAAGTAACGGAATATTTGTGCTCGGGGTGGGTTGTTTTTTCTTCAGACAAATTTCGACTTTTTAACTAGCCATTTTTGACGGAATTTTCTTTTACATCATTCAAAAGTTATTGTTGTACTGTGCTCAAATTTGAAAAGATATTTTGCCTGTGATCATTTTTCGTAAAGTTACGGGGGTTTAAAGGTTGCCATTTTGGCCAATTTGGGACAATTAACGCGCGATATATTTCGCGCTATTAACGCGTAAGCGGAGATTTAATCAGTTTTAGAAATCGTACCAAATTGGTTGAAAGAAGCTTATTTGCCATAAATGATTTTATGGCAAGAAGCGAAATTTACATGGAACGAAATTTATCCTGTTGTCCTGTTGTATTTAGTATGGCTGGCGTGTGGGTGAATGATTTTTATGAAAAATTTCAAATTTTAGAAAAAAAAATTTTCATTTTGTTTTATTTCATTTAATTTTTTAAAGTTATTACTGCTCCATAGACCTTAAAAGGCAGTCGGAACATTCAGGGCTTCGCCCTGATACAAGCAGTCTTGTTATCACTTTATTAAGGCTAGAACAAAGAGGTGCTCAGTCAAGTCAATTGTTGTTGATATCTGAACTTTTTTTTTTTAGTTTTGAGGGATCAGCGGTGATCAAGGTTGGATAGAGGAAAAGTTGACTTATAAAGAAATCTCGGGGCAGTACAACAAAGCCGAAGTTTTTGGCACTGTTGAACACTTTTTCATTTTTGGCTCTGTTTTACTTCGGCACTGTTGAACGCCCCCGGAGATCTCGCATTCCTTCAGGCAAAAAAAAATCGGTGGTTTGAGGCTCACCACAATTTTTGTTTATTTGTTGTTTGAAGATGGTGACTCAAAACTATCAGCCCAGCCTCAGGGAAAAAACGATTTAAATATATTTATCATGGCAAAAAAACTCGGCGAGGAGCTGAAAAACTTCTAATATTTATGATGGAGCTCCGCTTGTTAGAAAATATGTTATTATTGTATAAACACGTTGCAATGCTAACAACGGTCGGAGCATTCTGTGTTACGGGTCATAAATGAGATTCAAATTTTACTGAATTACTTAAAAACTCTCTTCCCTATTGCAAAGGGTTAAATTAAGTGAACACCATTTATCCATGAGGGAAAGGACCAACATACGAGCTCTACAGCTCATCAGGGCGAACCGATATTGTTCCCCTGCTTAAGAGTAACAGGCAGTTTTTTGGTTAGTTTTCTGGGCTGGGTAATGTTGCCCCACCCTGAAGAAACTATCATGGCTCATGGTGCGCCTCGAACATCCGACCTTTCGATTGAGGGGCGGAGACGTGACCACTTCACCGCCGCTCCCCGCAGGTTTGTATTGGACTATGGAAGAAAATGAGATTGGTGTCGTTACCTGTCGTTGTTTGACGACGATGGCGAATATGATTCCATAGCAGACGAGGACCACTGCGCCCGGGATGACGAAGAAGGACATGGCCAGGTTCTGGGTCAGTTCCTCGTAACAGATCACGAACTGCAAGTGAGTCATGTCATCGTAGAACAACACACTCTAAATTCACACAACACACATCACACTTATCAGAAAAATAACACGTCAATCTTATGATTAACACAAATCCTCGTAAATGATTATCGTAAATTTAAAAAGTTATAAAATCAAGTTTTCAACTTAAGTTAAGTTCAATTATAACTGTGCACTATATAATTGCACTGTGATACATAGCACCGGAAAAAAAACTTGAAATAAATGAAGACTCAAATTCCCACTTTGAGTTTTTGAAAAAAATTTCTGAGCATCTCAACTTTCTAACTGCAAGATTCAAAATTCTGTTGTTCGAACTACCAGACCACAGACCACTTTTTGCAAATTCTACCGAAAATTAGCATGTTAAAGGGCGCGTAAAGCTGTCTGGTAGCAAACTTGAACACTAGTCTATTAGCTGAAAAACAATTATTTTTTATTAAGGAAAGTCTTGGTACTATTATGCATCTTCTTCCGGATGAACTTTTACGCTTAAGTTGTTTCAAAGGCACATCATAATACAGTTAATGTTAAAATAATGATAAATTTTTTGACATCATTGATATCCTTGAGCAACTTAACAGGTCAAAAAATAAGGCATTTTCGGTTAATTCGTTTTTATGGACACAACTTCTACGTGCGGAAATCACTAATCAACTGAAATCCGACGCCGAAACGAGCAATTTTAGGTTAATTATTTCGTTCAGATTCGCTGACCGAAAAGAGTATGGCCATCAACATGGTATTAACTATTAATCAGTTTTGACTCGAACAAAAAAATATGCAAGCTTTGAAGTAGTTAAAAATACGATTTACTCGCATGGCATTCTAAAATCCGGTGAAACCCTATCTGTACTAAAGGTTATTGGTTTCCAAAAAAAAAAAAGTTGGTCGCATTTGCGATGAAAATATTCAACTCTAATTGTTCAATTTTTGAGCCTGTGTATAGTTACTTGAATTTGTCCATTGTCCAAACAACATAGAATCAAGTAGCCTAAGCAACAAAATCGTAGTGACCTCTGTAGTCGCGCCAAAACTTTACTAGTTGGCGAGGAATTTTTGTTTTCTAATGTGTTTTATTTCAACGAAATGCGTCGAGTAATGTATCATATTATAACCTTTCAGTAGTCATTCAAACAATATTTTGAGCTTTTTGAAGTTTTTGATTTTTTTGGTCTAATTTTGAGCGAATAAAACGAGCGAGCAGGCTTATAAGTTAGGTCGTAAAATTTTGATTTCACCCCAGTACATTATAATTTCTAAATTTTTTTTGTACGTTTTTGGAATCGGAATTTAAATTGAATTTAAAATCAAAGCTGAATTTTGCGTTTTTTATTTTAATTTATTTTTTCTACTTAATTTACAAAAAAAAACTGTTATCAAACGTTCTTAAATTACTGGTACATTGAAGCTCTAGACCCTCGTTCAGATACTCATGACACTATGAACAAAATTATTACGTCATTTGAAAAACAAAAACAGTTTTTCAGTCTTTTTTGCGGTCCGAACTTCCTGCGCAACTTGAACAGCAACGGTTTTCCTTGTTTCCTTCTCTTATTTGTCAAAATCTACCCTACCCTAGTTTTAAATGCATTTTTTTCCATAAAATTTTTTTCTTTACCTTTATTGCAATATCTAAAAATTTAAGTTTAAGTTCATTCGGTAAAAAAATGATACCTAAAATTGAACTTCCTTCAATTTGACTCAACAAGAAAATCGAAAAATAAACTTCAAATATTGTCAAAGTATAATTTTTTTATTCAAAAACTTTTCGTACAATTAACAAAACGATGAGTGCTTAACAACGACGATCAGTGTTTGGTTCAAGTGGTCATTCGGTGTGAGCATAAAATTGATCATTCGGGGTGTTAATTATCTTTATTTTGGTGTTTGGAGCTTTCATTTGCTTGATGATTGCTAATTTCTTAATTGCTGTTTTCTACTTCTCAGAAACTCAGATTTCAGGTTGAACGAATTCTGATTGTTGTATTCAATTTCTGAGTAAAAGCTATCAAAATTATGCTAGAAGATACATATCACTTTTCAAACTTCTATGCTAGCTGAGCTTCATGATGCTAGTCACGCAGTCAACAATGAAAACAGTTAGTGATCGTTGGTGTATCCGCATAATCAGACACAGAGTGTTCCGCACAGAAAATCTACAGGTTGAAATGAACTTAAATAGGCTTTTTAACAGATAAAGTACCGAAAAAAAAATCTTTCAATACAGCCCACAATGTTTCAGTGTAAATCGAATTAAAGTGGGTTTAACTAGATTCTTTTTAAAGAAAAAAATTGCCAAAAAAATAAATTGTAAGTATTTTGCAGCATAATAAAATTCAACTAAATCTATTAAAAAAATTGTAGGGGTCAGGGACGGATCTAGGATTTTCTCAAGGGGGGGGGGGTGGGTTTTCAAAAAATTTTCGAAAATTTTGACGGCCTTTTTTTTTAGGTCGACCAAATTGATTTTTCGAGCTCTCCCAAAGCACCGTTTTGTCCCAATTTTGGCCAAATTTTTTGCGCCGCAGGCAAAATTTTGAAAAAACAGGCCAAAAAAGGCGTTTTTAGGCATTTTTTGGAAAATTTTGACCGAAAAATTGCGTTTTTTCGGCGCGCGGTCCCCTCTCAAAATTAGTATATATTGGCGCCCCGAAAGCGCCTTTAGAAGAATTTTAGGGTCGGTCGGCCAAAAATGGATTTCTTAAAAAGTATCAAAGGGGGGACCCTTTGGGTCGGTAGGGGGTCGAATCCCTGAGGAGAAGGCGTCCGCCAGCAGCGCCCCCCGCCCCCCCCCTAAATCCGCCCCTGGTAGGGGTCATATAAGATCAATTGGCGCTTCTTTATTTCTCCCAACTCACTTATGCATCAGTTTTATGGTGTAAAGATGAGTTTTACAAGCTGGAACTATGGCCGAAAAATACGCGAAGTCATGAAAAATTATCAATGCAAATCAGAATTTGGTTTTAGATCGAAAATCTGAAAAGTAATCATAGACAATCAAATTAAATCAAGTTCTCAACAAAAGATTTTCTGAAGAAATCACGAAAATGTGGTACAAAGCCGAACACAGTAGTATCGAATAATTTCTTCCTTTTTTGTAGAAATTATACGTTTTTCAACATTTTTAGCGTAACGAAATCCCCTTTCTTTTCGCTTTTATCCATAAGAACTGAAATTTTCAATATTAATTCTTTTTGGATGGAGTTTGTTCGAATATTCAGAATGGGTTGATGTAGTTTACTTTTCAGTGTTGATTTTGATTGCCAGGTGCTATGAGTGAAGTCGAAAAAAGAATCGATTTGCATTTCTAAATATCGAATCAAGGTTTCAATCAATTCGCCATCTGCTTTTTTTCCGCTTTTTAAATTCAAAAAAAATAAGCACCGAGAGATTAGGGTCAGCGTCATGAAGTTAGATGCTCATAGCTAATCCTAGATAGAGTTGCTAGCGTAAGTTGAAATTATAATTTGCTAAAAACTTTTTGAAGCAAAATTGTGTCAACTTAATTTGTTTTATTTTAGTCCAAAGAGCAGCTGTGGATTCAAGGGGGACTCCCCTCACCATTGAGGGATTTGACACCTTCACGACCAAAGGGGTCCCATTTCGTACTAATGTACGATGTCCATTTTTAGCTGACCGACCCTAGAATTTTTTCTAACCGTGCTTTTGACGCCATTACATATTAATTGTGGGAGAGGGGTTCGATTCAAAAAATCAATTAAAAACATTCTAGATCCACGCCTGGAAAAGGGTATGCTTAACTAACAAATCAACGTCGTTATAATGAAATTATGAAACCTTCACTTATTACCATGTTAAATTTGGCTGTTTAATAAAACATCGGCACTCAGTTTTTTCATGTACCACAAATCATTTGAACATTCAGATAATGATTTTGTTGCTCTTTTAAAGGCAAGTCAAAAATCCATTAAGCTCCGAGTGACATTTTTATGGAAGGATGCCTACTCCCTAAAACTGGTGCTAGAGGACATTTTTCGATGGAACTCGAGATTAAAAAGAAGTTTATTTCCACTCCATTTTATTCAATTTGAACACTTCTGACGGCCGTTTTAACTACAATTTGATCTCGGATTTTCCGTCCATTTCCGTTCAAAATTCAATTCCACGCCTAGTTTCGAGACTGAATTCGATTTCTGCCGCTTTGCTATGTTCATATTTTTCGTAAAATTGCAAGCAAGTGAATATTTAAAACCGCTGGAAAATCGAATTCAAAATGGACAGGCTTAATGAAAAGGTCAGCGTTTAGAAGATGAATTGAGCCTTCTTTCCCCCTCCCCCTTCCAAGCCCATTGCCTTTACCCTTAGCCTGTGTTTAGCCTGCACCTCCAAACAATTTCTATTTTGGTCTCGAATTGATGCAAAGTCTCCATTAGTCTAAAGTGTTCAGGGTAAAATTGGTGTGTCCCGCTCGCATTTAACTGAAGAGGCGGGGTTAATTTGAAGTAAAATGGCGAATCAAGCAATACACAAAAGTGTAATATTATTAAACTAGACGCCTTTGTTATAAATAAATTATTACCCACTATTCCCTCATGCCCGCGAAATTTTATATCTTTAGCTGCGCTATTCCAATTTTAGTTTAATTTAATCGCATATTCTCAAATGGCTTCTCATGTAATAACATTGGAATGAAGCTAATTCATTTCACCGAAAAGCATTTCTCGGCAAAAATAGAGGCGCTTGTTGCGAACAAAAGCGTGCTAATGGCTTCCTTAAAATATAATGTCATTAGTTATGACCCCGCGAACCCTCACTAAAAGCCGTATAAACTTATTTTCGTTATGATAATCAGAAGGTACACATATGGCCATTGAAATTTTTTATGAGAGAAAATTTAATGTAGATCCAATATCTTTTGTTCTTTTTCTGCTCTAATTAGTTCAATTTAACGGCTAAAAGAAAAGAAGATATAACACATGACACTTGAGCCGGTTGTTATTTTTACTTTCATTTTTGTACTTTTACCTTCAAAACTGACAATTTTTTTGCGCATATCTTTGAAATTGTTTTCTTCTGCAAAATGAGCATTTACTTTTTTGAGTCGGTAAAGTGCTTAGAAAACGGGTCTGACATTAGTATTTTTTAATCATTTTTTAATAAAGCTGGTTTTGTTCAAAAATTTTGGTTGCGGCAACTGTAAATTGTGCCAAGACAACTTGTACCAGGCGAAACCTTGAATGTTCCGACTCTCAATTAGGGTGTGCTAGCTAAACTCACGTTCAAAATTAAAAAAAAAAGTTAAGAAAAAGAAGAAGATGAAAGATAAAAATAAATTGTTTTTCATTGAAAGCCCCCACTCCAAAAAAAATTTTAAAAAAAAAGATATATTTTGCATCTAATAAACGGGAAAAGTTCTATTAATTGAAGAAATATTTCAAAACAAATAAAAACGAAAATTCTCGTATCAAGGAAAACATTGATCGTTCCGATTGCGTTTCAATTTCTACGGAGTAGTTTAAATAAAATTTTTAATGAAATTTTCAAAAAAAAATTAAAAGAAATTTAGAAAATCATCACACCACACGCTACGTCAAGTACAAAATTAGGCTAATTTCCAGTTTCCCATTCCCTCGCAATATTTCAAAAAAAACTGTTCAAAAACTGTTTACACGGCATTTTGCATACAAGAAATGTTGTGAAAATTTGTTAACATGTTTGAGCTGACACGTTTAAATGCATTTTATAACATGAAAAGCCGTTTTGAATAGGTTTTAATTATTAAATTTCCAAAAACATCGGCAACTATTAAAAAAACCCAAAATTAAATGTTTGTTCCGAATTACGAAGAACTGAATTATTTGTTTTGAACACTTAAATTATTTTCTCGAGAGCTGGTATACCTCGCATTTACATTGCATTATATTGAAACTTCTTTTGGGAAAGTTATCAACTCCAATCGCAGCAAACTGTGCGCTAACACGACAACTCGTATGTCATAGCAAAGTCCTGAAAGTTCAGAGTGCTCCTAAATCCCTTTCGAATAGTTTTCGAGAAAGAGCAAGTGTGGAAAATTGAGTCGTAGAAAATTAATACCACCGGCTTGCTAGCATCAACTCAATCTGGAACAATTTTGTTGTGCCGGATAATTTACCACGCATAAATAATTCGTTTGACACTTTCAGGATTATGGAAAAATCTTCAAAATCCGCATAAATTAGTCCAGAGCATGGTCAAATTGGCAACTTTCAAACTCCCGAAACTTTGCAAAAATTAATCTGAGGTGAAATATATTTTTATAATCGATTTCAATCTTCAATGGATTTTTAATTTTTTTTTGTTAAAAACCATTATTTTGATTGCCGAAAATTGAATGATAAAACAAACCACACCACCAAGCATAAGTCGATACAAATAATACCTCGAGAGCTGGTATACCTCGCATTGTTTTGCACTTTAATGAAACTTCTATTGAGAAAAATATCAACTTCAATCACAGCAGAATTTTACACTAATAATCTGAAACCAGTATCATTATTGGTAAAGAGCAAGTGTGAGAAATTGAGTCCTACAAAATTTTGCACGCAAGAGTGAAAAATTTAGTCGTACAAATTTTGCATGTATATATGCTTTTATCAATAGCACTGCAAATCGATAAAAACAAATCAAGGTAATCAATCAATCAAAACCTGGCAGTTGAAGACGCTCAAAAGATTTCATTTGCTTTTTTTTAACAAAGCAGTAGCTTTCCAAAATTTGCATATGCGATAAGAATTGGATTTGTTTTTTTTAGTTTGCTTGAGAGTCGAAAAGAAGCACAGTAAAAAAAATCATCAAAACTTTTCATTTTTTCCTAAAATAAAACAGAAAAGTATTTGCACTTGCCATTACCTTTGGACCTGTTTCAAATATTGCGCTTGAAAGGAAGCATTGAAGAAACGAAAGGAAGCATAGTTGATTAAGGTGAATTTGCAGAAACTAATTGAGAAAATCTATTGAGTAGACAACAAACAAAAATCAGCCTTTTCAGAATAATACAAGAATAAGCCAAAATAAAGTGAGTAGAAAACAAACACGAATGAGCCTTTTCAGAATAAGACAACAATAAGACAAAATAAAATGAAGAGAGAACAAGCCTTTTACAAGCCACCATATTACGCAGAAAAAATGTCGCAGGTCAAAAGCTCAAGCCATTGATATAATTGAAAAATTTAAAACTGTAACCGGTTTTGAAAAATCCAACTATAAATATTCCGTCACTTCTTTAAAAATCTGATGAAAAAACCATCCGGGTATAATTTTTTTTATCACGTTGTTCGAAAGTTGGAGCAATAAACCGAGCATGTCATCAGACTTGAGCGTTTGCCGAAGATCTTGTTTAAGGCGCTCCATTTATTTTAGTCAGTGCCTTATGCTTGTGCGCTATTTATTAACCCATTTTTTTCAAAAAAAAATGGATATATAATTAGATATTTTTGTGTCTTGTTGCTTAAATCATAGTGGTTGGAACATTGTACTACTTGCACAACGAAAACAGTTATCTTTGTTGAATATAAAAATTTAATACTCTTCACAACTGAGCGTTCAGTTCTTAAGAATCTCAAATATTTATATTCAATAAAGATAACTGTTTTCGGTGCAAGTAGCACACAATTTTCCGACCACTATGATTTGAGTCAGAAGATACAAAAAAATCTAATTATTTTTTCGGTTTTTTGTTTCTTTTTTTTTTTGAGAAAAATTGGGGCTAAAACATTAGGCGAAAAACTGCAAACAAAGAGAAGGTATAGTTTATTAGTAGAACCATATTAAGTATCACTAGAATATTGATTTGAAATGTGAAAATGGTGTGAAATTTGGAAAAAAATTCAGACCAATTTTTTTTTACCTTAAAACAGTTGTTTTTGTTTCTATCGGAATCCAATTCTTGATGAAACTTTTTGAAAATTTTACACTTCGTCATTATTAGCTTTGTTTACTCTGTTTGCGGTACTCAAATTCTAAACGTATCAAATTAGTTATGAGTAGACATCTAAAGAATTAGAGTAAAACTCAAATTAAGTTCTTTTGTTCCTTTTTTTGAAAAAAGTAATATATTTTTAGCTATTTAAGTCCATTGATAACTGCATGAGCTTCATTTATCATTTTCTTTTAAAAAATTCAAGATCCGATAATAACTCACTTACTGATTTTATCGATCAAATTTTTCCAAAGCAAATTTTTTTTCTTTTTCTCAACTAAATATAGAAATATAGAAATATTTCCAGTCGATAAGAGGCTGTTGAGCTACCTATTGTCTCAGAATAACGTTGCCCTCCTTTTGTAAATAGCGCTAAGCGAAGAAACAAATGACGAAATTGATTACTGCAATTAGTTTAAAATTTACTACAAAAATTTAGAAAATATATGAAGGAGAGAAACTTTTTGTTTTCAATTTAAGCCAGATGATTGGTCACAGCTGACACCCAAATAATTGATTTAATAGTAACTAAGGAACAACCCATCAAGTTGGCTCGCATTTATAGTGCAAAAAGCAGCTACAAATAGTCATGTTAGTGAACATTTCAAATGCCTGTAAGTTTTAACAAAAATGAAAAAAAAAATGAATGCCTAAAAATTTATACCGGAAATTTAAATTCATAATAGTTCGTGAGATTTTTTTCAGATACAAAAGTTGAGGTTTTTTATTGTTTTCATTTTTTTTGTCATTTCAGCAACTTCCACCGCTGAGGCAAGGCTATTTTAAACCAATTTATCTCAAAAATTCATCGGAACACTCTGGTTTTACTATTCTATACTACTCTGGTTTTACTATCGGAACACTCTGGTTTTACTCTGGGACCTCACACCACGAGATTTTAGCAAATTTTTCAATTAACTTTCAATTTTTTCCCAAAGTGTGAATTGAATTGTATGTTTGATGTAGCTTAATCATAATTCTTGCCCTTAGGACGTTTGTTTTTTCAAACCCAGGGGACAGTGAGTCATTTTTGTCAGCAAAATTAGCATGAAACAAAAATAATTTTAAAAAACGCTTTTGTTCATTACTCAAATTAAACTCGGTCGCTGGGCGTTTTGACAACATAAAACAACAGTTTATTTGAAGTTTTTTAAAGCGAAGCGAAACAGATAGTTAAGAATAAACATATTTGAAAACATAGCACATTCACGTTCAACTTTGAGAAAAATGAACTTTTATTTTTTTGCTGCTGAACAAAAATAACAACTCACCGCTTTCGGTTCTCCTAATGCTTCTTGCTCGAGTGAGTACTTGTACGCCATAAATGTCAGGAACACCACAAACAGAACGCTGATAAGCATCATCGTAATGAACACTGTCAAAATTCTCTTTGGGGTGGAGATTGAGGGGTACTGGAGGGGCTTCAAAATCGAAATCAGCTGATCTATGGCCGACACCATGAGGGCCATAGCGTTTCCGTTTTGAAAGGTCGCAAACATAATTGCCAGTGCTATGTTCACATAGTCGGGGTACATTGACCGTCTTTGGATCACATTCACAGTGGACATGGCTAGTATGACCGACAGTAGAAGGTCACAGATGGACATGATGACCATGAGGAAGCCTGGCGGGGTGTGAAGGGCGCTGGTGTTCCATACTACAAGTATGACCAGAATCGAGCTGCAGCTAATGACCAATGAGAGTATAATGTAGAGCAGTGTTTCGAGGACAATGACAAACGCGCTGTTGTTGTTTTCGTACCAATGGTCAAATTCATAATCTTCCGATGCTGAAATGATGAAAATTTAAATTTTAATTTGATTTTAAGCTAATTAAATGAGGAAAACATTTAAAGTTAGGAAAACTTTTTAATTTAATTAATTTGAATTTACAAAAAAATTTTAATTCCATATTTTACCATTGAAAAAGATTAAGGATTAAACAATTTTTACCATTTTTTAACTGTTGGGTCACTTTGTTTTGAAACTGTCTGAAAAGGAAAAAAAATATTTAGTCTATATTGTTCCTCTTCTTTTTGCTGGGCGCATTTTTTTGCAAAGAGTTCTTATTTAAAAAATTGAAAAAACATCAAGCCAATTTCCCATTTTCAATTATGCATTTTTTCTTGACTTATTACTTTGATAAAATTAATTGAAATGAACAAATATACCAAAAAAGCAAAACCGAAATAAACAGAAAAAAATCCTAATTTGGCGCATGACCAACTTCAACTTTCACGCTTTGCTGGTTCAGTGCTTTTAAATTTGAGAAATAATGATTTTCTGGAGATTTGAGGAGTAAATATTTTCAAATCGCTGAGCCAAATCATCAACTTTGTTTGAAATAAGTTATGAATGTTGATTAATTTGGGTTTCAGATCTTCGGGTTTTTTTGGAAACTTTTTCTGGGTCAACAATTATGATATTTTTAGCTCAAAGGAAATAAAACAAGGCCAATTTTGTCAAATTTTACTGCAGCACGACTTTTTACAATAGTTTCACTTCAAGTGCACCTTTGAGGTTAACTGCAAAAAACTATGAGCGATGTTTTTCCTTCTTAGCGTTAATCCTTGTCGCCAAAACATTTCTTCTGCGCCAGCAAAAATTATTGAAAGAGTGTTAAGTTCAACCAAAAATTTTCCCTCTAATGAAACTATTGGTTGCCCTAACAAAAGCACAAAGTTTACCTATATTGATTGTTATTTCATTTGCTGGTCTATTTATTCAGACGGCAGATAAATGCTTTTCAATGTTTTTTCTTTAATATCGCAAACAAAGCTTAAGGAAATTTCTACAAAAAATGCTAAAATTTCAATGCTAGCTTAATTAAGCGTGAACTAAGAGAATACGCTTTTGAATGAACTTTTTTTATTCTCATTAAAGGTACCACAGGCGTGGCGATTGGTGCATTTCTCCGGAAAAAAATTTGAACTCAATTACTTATTAATTACCAAAATTCATGCACATTTAATCACGAGAAACTAATTCTATTTGTAGGAAGTTGGCATTGTGCAAATTTCAACGTTTAAATTACAAGATTTCTTGTATCAGGTCAAATTTTGAATTGTCCCGACTGCTCTTTGACGTCCAATAAAACTTTCCAAAAAATTTATTTCAGATTTATTTGAAACCTCCACACGCCTTGCGAGTACAAAAGATACAGAAGACGCCCAGTAATATATCAATGAGCCTGAATCAACTAAACTAGGATTAATTACTGAGCCATATTATATCACCGCTTACGCGTTGATAGCACGAATAACATGCGGGTTAATTACCCGAAGCTGACCAAATATGCAATTTTTAAACACCCATACTTCTATAGAACTTAGTCACAGGTGAAATATAGTTTTGAAATTAAACCCAAGATAATGATACTTGCCAGATGATAGAAAAAATCCTTTCAAAAATGCTAGCTAAAAAATTACAATTGAAGAAAAAACACGAGCACAAATTTTTCGTTATTTTGTTTGAAAATCCGAAAAAAAGTTTAATTATCTAAAGTTTCAGCCAAATCACTCTGAATTGAAATTCTTTTGCTCAATTCAAAATTTTTTCTTTTAAATGTTTTCAAATCAAAATTTTTACAGCAGCGCTTGGATAGAATAATTATATTACAATTATCTCAAAAGTAACCTGAAAAAAGTGTGAATAAAATGTTCAACCCAAACTACTGTGTTAAAGTATGATTTGTTTATACTTCATTGAAAAACAAGTTGATACTAACTGTTAGTGTTGCGACTGCCTTTAAAGTGTTTGTGGTACAGTTATATTTTGAAGAAATGCGAAAAGTTAAGTTTCTTGGAAAAACTAATTTGATTTTCTCATAAAATTTTTCTTCCCAAAATTTCTTTTTTGGTAAACCCTTATTTTGTTTATTTAGCTTGCATCAATTAGTTTAGAGCCAGAGAAGCTTGCCGCATTGCATTAGAATTAGAAGAATTTAAAAATAGAATAAGAGGGCATATTAGTTTTCAGAAAAAGAACGCTGGAACGAAGGTTGAATGGTAGAGAGCTCTTCTTTAACTGGCTCAAAACTTCTAAGTTACTAAGTGAGAACCAAAAATTGAAACAAAAAAAATCACTTGTAGAGTGTTGCATTTAATAACAAAATTCAAAAAAATTTGAGGTGTAAATTTTATGCATTAGGAATTTTTACTGTCCGTGTTTTCACAGACTATCAAAAATTCGCAAATGCGAACATTTGCTCATAGCGTGCAATTGTGGTACTATACTATTTTTTGATAATTTTTCCTAGTCTGTTTTTTACTGATCTCTAATCTGTTCGTGAAAGTTTGAAAGTTACAACACTTATTTTGCCATTCCAACTTTGATTTTTATAAAGTTTGAAGCTATTGTTTTTTTTTATTTTGAGCCGTTTTCATCAAAATGGGAAAATTGATTTCAAAGATGGTATTCGTATTTGATAAATACCCCGTTCGAAATTTTTTAAGCAAGCTTCGTTTCAACTTTCAACACATAGCATGTGAAGCATCAATGAACACAAAATAGAAGTTACACAAGTTAATAGCTCCTCATATCGATTCTGGAGGCAGATATTTTAAAATGACTGTGGTTTATATACCTTTTGAAGGGCAGCAAAGACTTAAAACAAGCTAGAACAACAGTGCTACATTCAAGATTTTTTGCTATACATTCAAGACCAATGCGCAAAATAAATTTTCCACCTTACGCTCAACGAAAGACTTGTATGTTTTGCAGGTTGTCTTGCTAGTTGGAAAAGTAAGAAATTTTACACTCGTCATTATAATTTTTTCTTTGTCTTTTGTAAAAAAGGATCAAAAAAGAAGCTGTTCTGCTTTTTAAAGAAAACCACTGTTGTTTGTCGCTTACAACTATCAAATCTTTAAATTTTTTTCAGACTTTATTTAGATTTCGATAATAAATGAAAAAAAAAATGGGCAATGAAAAAAGATATCTTGACGACAAGCGCTTCGACAAAGCATAGACTTGTAAAACGGAACAACTTTTTTGCCATTTATTAATGAAGTAAAATAAATTTTGAAAAACTTAATTGCACTCAAATTACCAAAATATATATATAATTTAACTGCTAAATCATTTTCAAAATTTTATAATCGAAATTTGTGATTTTTTTTCAGAACCAGTCAAATAACAGATTTTTCTGCCTTTGCTATTTGTTTCAGTAACGTGTAAAAAAGACGCTACTACCAAATTTTTATCCAAAATGATCTTAAACTTCTGATAAAATAAACTCGAAAAGACAAAAAGTTAAAAGTTCTCAAATCTGATCATTTCAAAAGCTTTCTTCCGTGCATTTGAAGAACAGTGAAAGGTTTCAATGATATTTTGATTCGATTCATTAATATTTAGGCGACACAGTCATTAATATTTAGGCAACTGGAAAAAATTGAGAGTTTTGAAAAAATTCAATATTTTCAGCTTTATTTGAGTAAATCAAACATCGGATAAAAAAACTATTAAAATTTTATTAGATTTTATTGTTACAATCCTTCTGGTATTTCAATATTTTGTTCGTCTGAAACAACTTTGACTTTTCATAAGACACTGGCTTCCGCTCATGATAAAGTTGCAGTCTTTTTGCAGGATGTTCAAGATTTTTCTATTCGAAAAGCTTGATTGGTGACAGGAAGAAAAAATTTATTTCGGAATGAAAAAATCAGATTTTTTGCAAAAAATGGATATTTAAGATATAATTTTTGATTGCGTTCAAGAATATTTAAAATTAGCTGATTTTTTAAGCATATAGGTAAAACATCCCAGCAAAAATTTGCCGACTCATGATTTCAACTCAAGAAAAATATCAATCTCGACAATAATTTACTGAAATTGGTTCGTTCTACATGATTTCAAGTCCAAAAAAGACAGATAAAACAAAAACAGACAATTTTACTGGTTTGGTGAGTTTGCTTTTTTTAATTATAAAAACATTTCTGACACTTGACTGACTATGTTCCATATTCAAGTTTTAAAACAATAGAAAATCAGTAGAAGGCAATTTTTTCTTTTTCATTCGGTTTTTCAAATAAAAATGTCAACATTGGGCATTCTAAAAAAAAAATTGACAAAAAAGGTTAACTCGGGACATTTCAAGGAAGTTTCAATTAAAAACAGTGTTTTAGTTGAGTGCTAGTAGCGTACGGAAACGAGATCCTTTGGAAAGTGTAATGGCCTTCAAATACTCCTCCTATTTCTCTTAAAGGAAGTTTTTACAGTTCAAATAAAGCTTTCATACCATTTGAAGCTGCCGACAAGTTGGAAACATTGAGCAGAACTGATTTTATGGTCTCCGAGGACGCCATCTTTTTTTCTTTATCAATCCACTTTTTATTATGTCTGGTGAAATAAATGACCAGCGCGACTAACAAAATAAACAAGCTGAAGCTAAAGCTACGTTGGATGAAGTAAATAACCAAGAATACTCTAATGCAATCATAAACAGGTAATTCTCTACGCTTTATAAGCAAATTTTTTACTTTTCATTGCGTAGTAAAATCAATAATGGGAGAATTGGCGCCGATAAGCCTGCTTGTAAGGAGATTTTGATTTGATAAAACAAAGGTTTCTACTTCTGTTGCGATGGGTTTAAGACAGGTTCTGAGCTCTTTTGAACCTTCGCAGCTCATAAAACGTGCTTGTCGTTGATTATTGCCCCTCTGGCTGTGATAGTATAGTCAGAATGTTGTCGTTAATGTTGTAAAATAATACTTTCAGTCGTCTGTAAGTGTTATTAAATACTTTTTCAAATTTATTGCACGCAGTAAATAAATCAACTGTTTTGATTCTAAGTCAAATTCTGTATACGCGATAGACTAGATAAACGCGTCAAATACTTAATTTGTAATATCGTGCAGCGATGATGGTTCAGTAGATGATAAATGATGGTAGCTGTGTTTGTGGTTTTAATTAGAAAATTGAATCTGAAACGTTTCCAATAAAAAACGGCGCAAATTGATATCGAAAATTCAATAAAGTCATTCAATTTGTAACAATAAACACATCAGGTCTCAGAATGAAACATTTATTTGTGGTCAAATTAATGCAAGAAAATTTGCGCTGCTTTGACGATCTGGTCCGTCCATCTATTGGAGAAAAAATTGTAAACGAACGTAATTAATTAAATTTCCCTCTGTTCGAATCCATTACTTGGTCGAATATTGTTATTGATTCCCTGTAGACCTGAAACAAAAAATCATTAAAAGTTTTTTATGCATGTAATTCATAAATTGACTACTTTTTGGGTTTAAAACTTGAATTTTGTTTTGATACAATTCAGGGGAGAGAGGCGCTTGAGCGGGTGGGGGCATATTTTCAAAAACAATTCAAAATTTTTGTTGCTGCATTTTTTTAAGGGCACCAAACTTTTCTTCCGAGTGCTCTCTAAACACCATAAAGACCCTAATTTTCCAAAAACAGGCTGAAAATGCCATTTGAGGCACTTTTTGGAATGTTTGCGTTTTGCCCTCAAAATTATTATATATTCGAGCCATATGCGCCATTAGAAAATTTTTAGGGTCGGTGGGCTAACAAAACATAACGTAAAATGGTAGCAAAGGGGGACTCTTTGGGTGGCCAGGGGATCCATTTCCTAAAAGGAAGACGTCCACCACCGCTTCAAATCCTCCGCCTCCCGTACAAGTATAGTAGTTGAGTCTATAAATAGGTGTATCAAAAATTGAATTGTCGCAAAATTTAAATGACCAAATAGAGTATGAACAACTTGTCCATTTGCGCATAAATTTTTTATCATTGAAACTCATCTATAATTTAGTCACCCAACTATCAAACTTGTACTTTGTAACCTTGTATGCAATAAAATTATACTATTCTGAACATCAAATGGAGACAAAGTTTGATTTTGGTCTTAGAACTGTTCTAAGAGACAAGATAAAACCCGACACGAGTGACAGCAATCTATCTTATTGGCACAAGATGCGTCAACTTTCAAGGGTTCGAAGTAGTCGCAAAATTAAAATATCAGAGAGCGAGCCTAGAAAGAAATGAATTAATCGTTGCCTCGGAATTTGACCCCATCTTGTTTGAAAGAGCACTGTTTGGGCCGTTTTCCAGCAAAATCCATCCAGTCTTTGAATCTCGGAATAGTTACAATTATTGCAAAAAAGGACTCCATATTCAGGTTATTTAAATGAGGGGATGGCCCGTAGGGGTACATATTTGTTTCTTGGTACCCTAGCAGGATGATACTTTGAAAAACCCTTTATTCTTCAAAAAATATTAGGATATACTTTCTGATGTGCTTATCAAATTAATTGGGCCAACTTTTAAAAACATATCATGCATAAAAGCTGACTTATAAAAAAGGTTGGAATGGTTTGAATCTTACCTTTTCTAAATAAGGTACACTTTTTAATGTTTCGACTAACTGTTGGCTAGTATATTTCGAATTTCGAATTCAGTCTAAGCTTAGTTGGGCTGTTTTCGGAAGTTTCCCAAATAATTTGATTAAAAGAGTTTATAAAATAAAACTGGAGCTTAGAACTTCTCATTTCGAACTTTGACTGCGATAAAACTAATTTGCGCAATAAAGTTGATTGTTGTTTAACAAAAGTTTGATTCATTGCTGGACGTGGCAATAACAAGCACAGCTTTGACCCGGAATGTTTTGTGTAGATCTGATACTGTTAGCAGTTGTACTTTATGAAGTGTCTTCTCAACATTTGGTTAAGTTTGTTCACAACATTTTGGGTAAAGTGCTTGGCTGACTGGCGCTCAAAGTTACAACCCCAAGGCATGGTCATATATGTTCAATAGGCATTATTATATAATACTTGTATATTGAAACTGGTAATGTGAGCTTGGGCTGGCAAGGCCATAAATCATTCAGTAGTGACGGGCGATTTTATAAAGCCGGTCTTGCGCTCGATCAAAATCACCTTATAAAAGACAGAGCCTGGAGGCAGGGGTTGTTTCCTCATTGACTGATTGACAAATACAAAATCAACTTGGTTCCATTTTCGACTCTGTATTATTTTTCACAAAAGGGACAGTTTTGAGGTTTCTATTGAAGATTGAAATATCTTAATTTAAGAGGCGCCACTATAAAGTAGGAGAAATAGACACAAATAAATTATTTACATAAAACTGGCCATTTCAGATTGGAAAACTGAATTGAATCAACATCCTTCATAAAAGTAATTGTATATTCATGTATTCATGTATACGCAAAATTTCATGTTATCAAAATGTCATCAACAATTTGGAGAGGTGGAGATGCCTATGTCATTCATGAAGTTTTAAAAAAATATATCGCAATAATCGTACTTTGCTTAGCCTGATTACATTTTTACTAGCTCACGAAAATACAATAAAGGTAAATTCATAAAAAAATTTTGAACCCGAAAATCACATGTTAATTTGAAAAAAGATGATCAGCAGAGCTAACCAGTTGACTTGGCCGATCGAAGTTGGAGCAAACCAAAAGAAGGGGATTTCAAACTTTTATCATGTTTTTGAAAAAATACTAATAATTAAGAAGCGCAACCTAAATCTTAGATGTTTCAATTGTTTCCATGAAAAAAAAGCTTTTTGACGTAATAATTTAATTAATAGTCCCTGGAAGTGGAGAATCTATTTTTTTGATCTTGTGGCATCAATACCAAAGAATCATCATGGTCCCAGAAGTATCACGCTTACCATCAAACCAAACTGAATTTACGGAACCGCAAAATGAGTGTAACTAAAGAGCTCGTTTTATACTTTGATGCTGAAACTGTAACACGAAATTTTCACTCGTGGCGAAATATCCCGAGCCATAAAATTGTAAGTGAACTGCTATAATTCCAAACTTGATTTATTTTCGGGCATAAAATTCCATGGTCATTTTTCCCGAACAGGTCTATAAATTAAACTTT